GTAATTCAGACATTTAATAAAGATATTAAAACTCAGGTTTTATTTGTTCAGTTATAATAAAGTTTAAATGTCTTACTTCTTCTCAGGACAAAGACATACCTGTATGTCACTGTCCTGTTATAATACTGTTACCCAGGGTAGCTGTTGGTATGAAAGGAGAGGGCAGAAGAAATGATTGCTATGGAACCTATCAGTCCAGACCCCCCTGTGAGAGAGGAGGGGCGGGGGTGCAGCAGTCTTAAAAAGGCCCTGGAGGTAAATTATAGCTGTGTCCTCTCTGCAGTCAGGCTGTACATGGACCTCCCAGCCCTCTAAGAGGCATCACTCGGGTCACCTCGCTCAGCCTACACCTTCATCCTGTTCCCACTCCCTCTCCTAATGGTCTCCTCCCAAAGACGGACTTGGACTAGGCCCCTTGTTTCTACACCGGTCTGCAATCATTAAGACAAAGACTTACTTGTTATCATCAAACTAGTGCTAGCAGGTAAATCAAGCAAAACAAAAAAACCACTGGGGAGTCTTAATGTATTACCTCATAAATATTCTTATGTTTATTTTTTTTTAGTGTTTATTAAAACATTTGAGGGAGAGAGAGAAACAGCATGAATTGAGAAGGAGCAGAGACAGAGGGAGACACAGAATCCTGAAACAGGCTCCAGGCTCTGAGCTGTCAGCACAAAGCCTGATGTGGGGTTTAAACCCATGAACTGTGAGATCATGACCTGAGCCAAAGTTGGATGCTTAACCAACTGAGCCACCCAGGCACCCCTAAAAATTTTTTTTAAATAAAAAGAAAAAAAAATTCACTGATAGCCTTCTGGGGATTCCCTTGTATGTGACAAATCACTTTTCCCTTTCTGCATTCAAAGCTCTTTTGTCTTTGAATTTGAGAATTTGACTATAATGTTTCTTGAGATAATCTTCTTTGGTTGATTTTACTTAGGGTCCTTTGGTTTCATGAATGTGGATGTCCACATCCCTCTCAAGATTTGGGGAATTTTCAGCCATTATTTCTGTAAATAAAGTTTCTGTCCTTATCTGTTTTCTCCTCTTTTACTCCCATAATGCATATATTTCTTTGCTTAATGATATCCGATAAGTCCCATATGCTTTCCTTACTCTTTTTCTTTTTATTCCTCTAACTGGCTAATTTCAAATGACCTGTTTTCAAGGCCATTGATTTTTTTCTAATTCAATTTACACTTATTATAAGAACTGCCAGATATTTCATGTTAATATTTACATTTTCATAAGTACTTGCAGTTAGAATTCAAGCTGAGATTCCAATAAATCTCTTACGTGTTTAACACTTTTCCTATCCTCAGACTTTGCAAATATTTTAATGAACATTTTTTGGATTTTATTCTGCCTTTGGGGAATTTATACTATACATATAACACAGAGGAAAAAAAGATTACAATTTGGCAAAGCAAATTGAGGACAACTATATATAGAGTTGCAAATTGAAAAATAAGTGTAGAGTATAAAATTCAAAATTTTAACACAGATAAATTCAGCCATTAGCTTTTCACTTTATATAAAACTTCACTCATAACTTATTATTTATTTATTTTAATTTTTTAAAAAGTTTATTTCTTTTTGAGAAAGAGAGACAGAGGGTGAGTGGGGGAGGGGCAGAGAGGAAGACACAGAATCCGAAGCAGTCTCCAGGTCTACACAGGGCTCAAACTCACGAACCACAAGATCATGACCTGAGCTGAGGTTGGACGCTTCACCAACTGAGCCACCCACCCGGGCACCCCACTCATAACTTCTTTGAATAGCAACCTCCTGAGGGTATTTATTTTTGTATTTGTGTATAGTTGGCATACAATGTCACGTCAGTTTCAGGTGTACAACATAGTGATTCCACAACTGTGTATATATTATGCTGTGCTCGCTGCAAGTGTAGCTACCATCTGTCCTCATAGAATGCTGTTAAAAGGCCATTGACTATATTTCCTATGGTTTACCTTTCATTTCCACGAAAAGGTCATTGATTATTTCTGAATAATTAAGTCTGCTGTTGAAGCTTTTGATTTTTTTTGGGGGGGGGGGCGGTCAGTTGTATCCTTCAACTCCAGATTTTCTGCTTGATTATTTTTTATGGTTTCTATTCCTTTCTTCACATTCTCATTTTGTTCATGTATTTTCTTGATTTTTTTTAGTTGTCTGTGTTCTCTTGTAGTTCATTGAGCTTTAAGAGTATTATTTTGAATTCTTTGTCAGGCAATTTACAGTTCTCCATTTCTTTAGGGTTGGTTATTGAAGATTTATTTTGTTTATTTGGTTGCATCATATTTCCCTGACTCTTCATGTTCCTTATAACTTTGCACTGGTTTCTGTGCACAGGATGAAGCATTCACCTCTTCCAGTCTTTACAGACTGGTTTTGGCAGGAAAAGACATTTACTGGTCAGCCCAGCTGGAGATCCTGGGGGCCTGTCAAATGTTTTCTGTGGATGTGGACCTCCCAATCTCCCTTCCTTCTAGGGAAGAGATTTCAGGGTGGTATACCTTCTTTCAATTTCACAGAGTCATGTTGGCTGCTGTAAGCCTGTTTCCTTTTCCTTAGAGCAGTGCATTGATAGGGTGGTGTATTAGAAACATACTCCAGTCCTCTCCCTCTCTTCCAGGGGAGAAATCTCAGGGTTATGGGCCGTCTTCCAATTTCACAGAGCTATGCCGGCCACCACAAACCTCCTGCCACATTTTTTCTAGGTCACAGTACTGAAATGAGAAGTTGTTGAGTTCCATTTTTCTCCCTCCCTTCTGGAGAAGATTCTGGATTGTGTGTCTCTCCCTATTCCATAGAGCCATGCCAGCTGTTGAGAGCTGCCTGCTCCTTTTCCCTAGGACAATATACTAAAATGCCAGGATGTACTGGAATGGCACTGGGTGCAAGCTCTATTTGTCTCCCTTCCTCTAACTCTCACAATCATGTAACTTCTCTTAATCCCATAGAGCTATGCAGGCAGCTGAGAGGTCCTGCCCTTTTCTTTGTTCAAAGTCGCCCCCAGGCATTCTAACTTTGCTGCTTGCCTCATCACTCTCGAGTAGGTCTTTTGGGCAGCATCCGGAAAAGTGAGGATAATATCAGATGGTTGCTTCCCTTATATTTTGCCCCTGAGGGAAAAGTCGTGGGCTGAGCAAAATTTTTCTCTAGATGCTAAGCTGTTTCAACTTGTGGCAGGGACTGATACCAGCAAAGTGAAATAGCATTCTTTTATTGGTGTAGATGAGGGCCAGGATTTCCTATTCCATTATCTTATGGATTTCAGTTCAGATTCTTTTTAAACTACAAATTCAATTAGAATTCAATTTAGAAGTTACAGTACAATTCAGATCATCTATTTCACCTAAGGTGGTTTTTAGTAGTTTGTGGGGTTTTTTTTAGAAATTAGTCCATTTCATCTAATTTGTTGAAATTATGCATGCAGAGTGGTAACAGTATTGAGTTTTAGTTTATCTATCAAATATTTAAAAGGATTCTTAAATTTTTATCTTTGTGTTTATTTTTCAGTCAATACCTTAATTGGCCTAATTGATTCTTTTTTTAAATCTTTAAAATTTTTTTCTAATGTTTATTTAGTTTTGAGAGACAGAGTATAAGTGGGGAGGGGCTGAGAGAGGGAGACACAGAATCTGAAGCAGGCTCCAGGCTCTGAGCTGTGTGGCCTAATTGACCCTTGACCTGAATATGTAGAGGATAGTTTTCAGCCCCTCCCATTATATCAATGGACCTTATATATCCTTTCATTAAACCCATAGAAGGAAAAGTAACAGACTGTCACTTAAACAGTAGAAAATATACCTATCTAAGTTAAAAAGAATTTTGACACAAGAACATCATAAGGGTCAGCAAATATAGGTCCTAACATATGCTAGCTTTGGCAGACTGAAAGGTTATGGCCTTGAATTACCCTTTTCTTGTTATTATATCACCCAATGACCCATCTCAGATTTACTATATCAGAAAGTCAAGGGAAGGCTAGGGCCCAGAGAATCTTTATATTTAATAAATTGGTTTTAATGCACAGTGGGGTTGAAGACTACTGGTGAAAGCAACCTACCTCCCTGGAGACAGCTTCATTTTGTTCCTGGAGATAGTAGAGAAAAAGCATTAAACCAGGCGTCAGATGATTTGAAATCTGGTATAGACTCATGCTATCAAGCTAGAAAGGAAGTTATGTAATTTTGCTTAGTTTCAATGTTATTATTTTTAAGGTTTTTTAAAAATTTATTTTGAGAAAGAGCTGGGGAGGGGCAAAGAGAGAGATAGGATCCCAAGCAGGCTTCACATTGCCAGCATGGAGCCTGATGCAGGAATCAAACTCACAAATCATGACATCATGATCTGAGCCAAAGTCTAGAGTCAGACACTTAACTGACTGAGCCACCCAGGCGCCCCTTAATGTTAGTATTTTTTTTTTTTTTAATTTTTTTTTTCAACGTTTATTTATTTTTTTGGGGACAGAGAGAGACAGAGCATGAACGGGGGAGGGGCAGAGAGAGAGGGACACACAGAATCGGAAACAGGCTCCAGGCTCCGAGCCATCAGCCCAGAGCCTGACGCGGGGCTCGAACTCACGGACCGCGAGATCGTGACCTGGCTGAAGTCGGACGCTTAACCGACTGCGCCACCCAGGCGCCCCTTAATGTTAGTATTTTTAAATGGTTATTAAAGAGACCACTACTTGGTTTTGAAGGCATATGTGTTCTTTCTACCATGAAGTTTCTTTAGTTAATAAAAATGTATTTTATTTACTCATTTGTTGCAATGCAGCTTGGATAAGAAAAGACAAAGCCTATTTATATAAGCATTGTGGGTCTGTGTGCATACCTGCATACATGCCGTAGATCTCCCTGATCTCCAATGAAGGCAGTCAAATGAAAAAATACTGCTTAGTAGCATGTGTTTAACTGTGGAAAGAGGTATTCACCATGTAATAGGAGGTAAGGGGGTTCATTGGAAGAAAATGTCCCTATGCAATCAGCAAATCAGGCTTATTAATGTGGATTTAATGGCATTAGCTACTTCTCTGCATTTCTCTCATCTTCTAATATCTTGAAACATTGTATAATATTTTCAAGATCTTAACATACAATTTAATACACATTCCCTTACAAATGTAAGCAACATAAGGCAGATATATAAACTTTGACCAATGTTTTTATAGAGCAATAATCTGGAAACTATGGCTTATGAGTGCTACTTATTTTTGAAAATAAAGTTTTATTGGAACACAGCCATGTCCAACCATTTATGTATTGTCTACGACTGCTCTCACACTACATGGCAGAATTGAGCAGTTGAGACAGAGACTGTAGGGCCTACAAAGTCATGAATAGCCACTACCCGGTCTTTTGCAGATAAGTTAGCCAACCATTGGTGTGAAGAGTAAAGCCTTATTTTTGGGTGAAAACTGAAAAAAAAAAAAAAAAGCCCAGTGAAGCATATTTTATTTTCAGCTTAAAAATAATTTTTAATCATTTTGAAAAATATCAACCATTTACCTAGGAGTTTAGAAAATTAGGAGAAAGTCTATGTATACTAATACCAAGAGCATTGTTTTGTTATTCAAAAAATATAAAAAACAATCTATAATCACTTTGGGGAAAATCAGCAAACTTTCAAGTATAGACTGTTGAGAAGTGGAAAAAGGTTCCCTAATTTATAGGATCTTAAATGATTTATTAATTAACTTAGCTCAGTTTTCTAGTATGTTATCTGTCATCATTTAAAGTCCATCTTTGTGAATTATATATTGTTACAAACACATAATGCATAATTGTCATCATGTTACTATGTTCAGTCCAGTGTCAATTATCTAAACCTCTAAAATGTACCATTAAAGTTACAACCTGGGTGAATTAAGTAAAAAAGGAGTTTCCTTTTTTGGCCCATTTGTTTGTGATCCAATCCCTATTCATGCTAATGGTTTCTTCTACCTTCTTATGAAAATCCTGTAGATTCTAGATCTCTATATAAGGTGGTTTGCTTCTGCTTAGAATCCATCAGGGAGGATTGTCCATTCCTAGGGCCTAGTGATCACATCATTGCTCACAGATGGTGCAGCTGTGATATAATGGAAAACCGCACGTTGCTTTCACTAAGAAGCTAGGATGGTCCTCCTGACACTGAAATCCATTGTACACTTGGCCAGACTGAAGTCCAACTATGTTCCTAAACTTTTACCTAAGACTTTGTTCAGTTTCCCTTTGTCTACTAGTAGTCACCTAGAGGAATAAATTTTTCCTGAATGGTACCAGCTCATATACTTTTTGTGTTAGAGAGGTAAAATTGACCTTTGTCATACAATTTATAATATTTTTTTGGAAGATGGATATGTTTTTTAATTACAGTACTGCACATCTTTGCAAATTTCTAGTGTTATAAAAATGTAAAACCCAATTACTTTCGAGTGTAATGATATTTTTCCAAATTCAAAGGTTACTTAAGTTATGCCTTGGATAAGAATGATCAGGAGCTCTATCCTTTAGGTCTTCAGCTTAAGAAACATGTTTTCTTTGGTTTTTCCATGCTCTTCTGGATATTTTGTATCTCACTGTGAAGTCGTTTGCTCTCATTTTGGAATCCTTCCTTTAGTAGACGAGCCTGTTCCTAAAAAGGGACAATTGGAGACTGAATAAAGTGTAGGACTGAAGTAAATCTCTAATTTATAGCTAGTTTCCGCATTCATTTTTTTAGTATTAAATTTCTTTTTGACATTTTCTCTACCCTTAATTTTCATTATATGTTCTCTTGGGTGTCTTAGCTCTGTGATTACATTTCCACTAAGTGGTGAAGACAGTTCAGATATCTTACCAAGTTGTGTTACTTATAAAAGTTACTTAATCCTTTCTGAACTTCTATTTCTTTTTGTAAGTAATAGAGACACAGCAGTTCTGGCTTTGTATAGTATTAAGCAAGAGATCCATATAAGAGATTTTTCAGAATGCCTAGCAGAGAACAGCTACCATGGATGAAAGGATGTACAGATAGAGGACTGGATGTGACCTAACCACAAATAAATCTTTTAATAACCAGATAGAGGCAGGGGCCAGGTCAGGCAGGCAGACAGAAATTGAAAAGTACAAGTGGCAAGCAAGGTCCTTCTTGTAGGCATCATGTTATCACTGCCACACTAAGATAAGATGAGGGAGAGTGGAGAGAAAACAGAAAACAGAAACCTTAGGGTAGTACAATTAAATACCTGAAGTTTGAAAGCTAGAATTCTCTCTTGTTCATCCAGCCACTGGACTCTATCCCTTTCCATCTTCTCAGTTAATTGTCTCACATGTTCCTGATGACTCCTTTCTTTCTGTTCCATCAATTGCTGATTCTTTATTTGCATTTCTTCCAGTACTTTTGCTGCAGCCTGTGCAGATTCAGCTTTCACACGTTCCACTGAGAGGAGGAAAAAGAAGACAAATGTATGTGAGTAAGCATGTTGTCCCTTTCTTCCTTGCACACTTACCGGTCATTGTTGCTGTTGACTACATATGCCCTACTCAGAAATGACTTCAGCAAGTAAGGGGCATTGTTGTTCGCCTTGCCCTAGTTTAAGGATCCCAGGCTTACCCCGCCAAATTATTTAAGCTTTAAGAACTCTTGAGGCTATCTAGTCTCTTGACTGGCTCCTCACCTTCAATCTCCTTTTCCTTTTCTGTGAGAGTCTGGTCTGTCTGTAGAATCGCATCAGTCACAGACTCCTTGGACTTCAAGTATTCCTGAAGAACCTCTTCAGCCTTAGGACCCAGAGAACATGGAGTTGGTAATAGGAAATGGATATAAGCACTCGTTCCTGTTTGTCTTCCTATCATCTTTTCCTCTAGGAATTGCTCCTCTTGGCCTTAGTGTGCCTGGTGGTCAAGACTCCTTGCCACAGGCATGGGCACATGCTCTGAGCTGGCCAATCATGGCAGCCTACTAAGCAGAATCCTTTATAAGAGACTGAGATAGACACTGGGAAACAGAGATTCTTTGTTTTTTTAGAATGAGGGCTCTAATTTTGGAGGTGTTGGTGCTCTGGCCCCCTAAGGAGTGAGTTGTTGAAAAAAGAAGTCATTATGGAGAAAGCAGATCAGAGAAAAGGTGGAGGGAGAATAGGAAAGAAGGAAGTGTAGGGTTGAGGGGAGTAACAGACAGACAGACAGATGATGACATTATTTGAAATCTTGGATCCAGTTGTCCTTAAAGCCAGTTTAAAGCCTAAACTGATGAATTCCCATTTTTGTTTAAGAAAATGGGTTTCTGTTCCTTGCAGCATAAAGATCCAGCCACAGTAGTGAATTGCAGTAACAACTTTGTGGTTGATCTGAAAATCCAATTAATAACTCAATTATTAATTGAGTGCACTCTTGGATGAGCACATAGGACATATCTGGTGTAACTGGCTCCCTATACATGTTTACTGAATGAAAGCATGAATGCTGTTGTTCTCACAAGGTGTGCAATTACACGTGGTTATTTTAGTCTTTCAAGGAGGCATGTCAGCAGCTTTCCAGAATCAGCACATAAATCTTGGTTACCTGTATCCCTTTATTAGGTTGCTGAAGATATTTTGTCTTCAGATCTTGTATTTTCTGGATGAGGAGACGGTACCCTCCTGGTTTAGAATAAACCCCCTGCTTCACAGCTTCTTCAAGAGGACTGAAAATATCCTTAAGTAAATCTGAGCAACGATCCGTTGATGCTTGCACATTCTGTTTACAAAAGTCATCTCGCTTTTTTTCCAGCTGGGCCTTTGATGTAAAAATAGGAGGTAAAAAGAATAACAGGGAAAAGATGTTAGCATGACCTTAGAATATCTGGAAGAGCTTCTCAGAAATAAGCCTATGACCCTAGAAAAAGTCACAGGCACCCCAACAGGACCATATCCTTCCTCCTGCTCCTGACTTTTACTGAAGTCCCTTTCTCCTTAGAGGTGAAGTTCAGAGCAGAGATTGCTAGCTTTCTTGCTATACCTTTAGAGATAAACTTCTGCTTTTCAAATTGGACCAGTGATTGCGTATGGAATAAATGTGGCTCAACATAAGCCTGCATATGGATAATCAGGGCAATATCCTGATTGATTAGGATATCAAATCAGTCTGGTAATAGTGGGCATTTGATTTAGAAGCTCTGATTGTGACTTATGTGAATTTAGGTAAATTAAGAGGAAGAATATTATTCATGAAAAAAATGTTTTAAAACTTTGAGTTCAATCCAAAATCTATAAAGAGCTCACCAAACTCCACACCCAAAAAACAAATAATCCAGTGAAGAAATGGGCAGAAAACATGAATAGACACTTCTCTAAAGAAGACATCCAGATGGCCAACAGGCACATGAAAAGATGCTCAACGTCGCTCCTCATCAGGGAAATACAAATCAAAACCACACTCAGATATCACCTCACGCCAGTCAGAGTGGCCAAAATGAACAAATCAGGAGACTATAGATGCTGGAGAGGATGTGGAGAAACGGGAACCCTCTTGCACTGTTGGTGGGAATGCAAACTGGTGCAGCCACTCTGCAAAACAGTGTGGAGGTTCCTCAAAAAATTAAAAATAGACCTACCCTATGACCCAGCAGTAGCACTGCTAGGAATTTACCCAAGGGATACAGGAGTACTGATGCATAGGGACACCTGTACCCCAATGTTTATAGCAGCACTCTCAACAATAGCCAAATTATGGAAAGAGCCTAAATGTCCATCAACTGATGAATGGATAAAGAAATTGTGGTTTATATACACAATGGAGTACTACGTGGCAATGAGAAAGAACGAAATCTGGCCCTTTGTAGCAACGTGGATGGAACTGGAGAGTGTTATGCTAAGTGAAATAAGCCATACACAGAAAGACAGATACCATATGTTTTCACTCTTATGTGGATCCTGAGAAACTTAACAGAAACCCATGGGGGAGGGGAAGGAGAAAAAAAAAAAGAGGTTAGAGTGGGAGAGAGCCAAAGCATAAGAGACTCTTAAAAATTGAGAACTGAGGGTTGATGGGGGGTGGGAGGGAGGGGAGGGTGGGTGATGGATATTGAAGAGGGCATCTTTTGGGATGAGCACTGGGTGTTGTATGGAAACTAATTTGACAATAAATTTCATATATTAAAAAAAATAGGAAAAAAAAACCTTTGAGTTCATTGTAGTAAAATTTGCTCTTCTTTTTATGATAAAAACAAAGAGTGGTTATCACCATTTTAAAGTCTAGTAGGAATTGCCTCTTTCAAAATAAATACCCATTTCATTTTCCGGTAGTACTCTGCTTTCCAAGACCCTAATCCATAAGAACTTGAGAAAAAATTACCGCTAAGTCCTTTTGACATAAATGGTCTATGTCTTTGAAGGAATTCCTCATGAAGAGTTCAATGGCCTCTTTCTCACAGGCCCTGTGCAGGTTCAGTAGCTCCTGGAGGGTTTCTGTGGGCAGCTGCAGCATCTGGCCCATCTGCTGGTCATAGTGGGCAATGGCCTTTTGCACTGCGGCTGCATTCTCGATCTGGGCCAAGGCCAGGATTGCATTCTCCATGCAGGGCAGATCTCCACGGCTGATGGCATCGACATAGGTCTGCACCAGTTTCTCTAGACCTACAAACAGAGAACAAATAATGTTGCTTGTTGTAGGTGGGATGAGGAAACATTCCATTCTGTGTGATTCTGATCATGTCTACTACCACCCATTTGACTCAAAGCATCAATGTCCTCAACATCACCTGGAGCCTTGCTAGAAATGTCGATTCTCAGCCTCTAGCCCAGATCAAGTGAATTAGACCCTCCTCTCTGGCAAGATGTCCAGGTGATATGTTTACACATCAAAGGTTGAGAATCTGTTCTAGATAGCATAGGCCTATGTTTACTGAGTGTTTTCATTCACTTTACCTTAAGCACCATTAGGACAGGAACCATACCTCTCTCATTTATGTCTTTATCATCAGCCCTGGTCTGTGGCAAGCATTTGATGATTGTGGAAAAAATCAAAAGAGTACTCGATTTTGTTTATTCTAGCAAAGCGTCGTCCAAGACAACTTTCTGTTATGATGGAAATATTCTATGTCATCCAGCTATTAGCCACATGTAGGTATAGGCTTTTGAAATATATAACCACAAGAGACTCTTAAAAACTGAGGATAAACTGAGGGTTGATGGGAGTGGGAGGGAGGGGAAAGTGGGTGATGGGCATTGAGGAGGGCACTGGTGGGATGAGCACTGGGTGTTGTATGGAAACCAATTTGACAATAAATTTCATATTAAAGCATAAATAAACAAATAAATAAATAAATCTGTGTAATTGGAATTTTAAGTTTTCTTAAAAAAAATTTTTTTAATGTTCATTTAATTTTGAGGGAGAGAGAGAGAGACAGAGCACAAGTCGGGGAGGGGCAGAGAGACAGGGAGACACAGAATCCAAAGCAGCCTCCAGGCTCTGAGTTGTCAGCACAGAGCCCGGAGCTTGAACCCATGAACTGTGAGATCATGACCCGAGCCAAAGTCAGACGTTTAACCCACTGAGCTACCCAGGCATCCCAGAATTTTAAATTTTCTGTAATTTTAATTAGCTCACACTTAAATTTAGATAGCTACACTTGTGTAAGCGGCTACCATATTGGACAATGCAGGTCCTAATAAATAGGGCAATTTTAAGAAATAGAACTTGATTTCTTTAGCCTTTCCTATCTTTTCTCACCCAAGAAATTTGACTAGTAAAATCTATTAGAAATGTTGATGTCATCAAGAATTTAACATGGAAATAGCAATAGATTCACATTTTTATTTTTAATGTTTATTCATTTTTGAGACAGAGAGAGACAGAGCATGAACAGGGGAGGGTCAGAGAGAGGGAGACACAGAATCTGAAACAGGCTCCAGGCTCTGAGCTGTCAGCACAGAGCCTGACGCGGGGCTCGAACTCACAGACTGAGGGATCATGACCTGAGCCGAAGTCGGCCGCTTAACCGACTGAGCCACCCAGGCTCCCCTAGATTCACATTTTTTAAAGCTGAAACTAGGTGGATGTAATTCTACTCTCCTTTAGTCTTAACAATGGGAGAAAAAGACTGGGAAGAGGACTCACGAGGTCCATTGACTTTGATGCCTCCTGAGAGAATTTTAGTTTTGGAATTCTTAAAGATGTAGGAACAGAAGGCTGAAGCTTGTTGCACAAATTCAGGATCCAGGTCATTATCATGCAGTGTCTCAAGCTGGCCTAGCTTCTTCCGATGAGTGGGTCGATCAAAGATAAAGCATTTCTTCTTTGGAAAGAACTTCCGGATACAGAGTCGGGGCAGATTAAAATTTTGATCACTTTGAGTGGTACCTGCAGGAAGATAAAAAAGGCTTGCAAACTTTTTCTGTAAAGGACCAAACAGTAAATATTTTAGGTTTTGCAAACCAGGTGGTCTCTTCTCCAAGTACTCAATTCTGCTATTGCAGCAAGAAAGCAGCCATGGACAATCTATAAATGAGTGGGCATAGCATTATTCCAATAAAACCTTATCTACAAAGACAGCTGGTGGTCTGGGTTGGCCATCATTTGCCTGTGAGCCATAATTTGCCAACCCCTGAACTAGAGCACTATTCATGCTTTTACCTATTTTCTTCCAGACAACGCCTATTCTTCTCCATATTCTTTGGCTAATCACAAGCCCTATTCAGGGAGATAAAATCAATCTGATAATAGCACAGGGAAAAATAAAAGAGAAAGAAACTATTCTTAGAAGAGAGGAGAATATAATTTAAAATTAAATCTATTAATTCATGTATTAAACAAGCATTAATTCTTACTGATGGCCAGCTAAGAAGAAATAGAAAACTATAAATGTAAGAAACCTGTAAATGGAACATGGACAAAATAATAGTTTCTTATGTTTTATTATCTCCATTTATTTCTAAGTCCCTTTTACCTTGTTTAAGCTTGAGAGAATTCTCCAGGTACTCATCAGCTGTGATGGGTAGTCCGTCTGCTTCCAGTTCTAAGGAGAAATCCCTCAGCGTCCACACAAAATCTGGAAAGAAGCTCACAAAGTCTGCTGAATCTTCAATCCCATTGGAATTAGGGGAGGATTTCGCCCTGATTCGATCTGACAGCTCTGTCACATAGCTGAGTAGCAAACTAAGGAAAACTGGCATCAAAGAATAGTGTCCCCATCCCATATTGGTTCCACATATTAAAACCTTCACTTCACCTTTGTTTTTAACCCAAGCATCAATTTTCTAGTGGGTACATAGAATCTTTCCCCTGCCCTTGAATTATTTTTCATGTTTTCTCTTTTTGTGCTTGATTCACCAGGATTCACAACCAAGCAGCTGGTTTTTAAATACAATTCTTCCCTCTTACTTTGAGGCTATTTTGAACTACAAAAAGGATACTGCAGTTGGTCCATGGCCTGCTGGTTGATGGTTCCCATGCTATTGTACACAAAGGTGCTGCTAAGGAGTATTGCTAGGGCAAAGATCCAGGAATCGTTCTGGTTGTCACCCTGTGAATCAGAACACGTGCAAGCCTGTTAGGTTTCACTCTCCTGACACCTAGATCCTGACTTTCTAGATCAGCAGCAGTAAAAAGATGCTTATTTAACTAGAGGTTTTTTTTTTTTTTTTTTTTTTAGATTAATGCCCTATATGAGAAAACCAAATCCAAACAAAAATATTAGTGGGATTTGGATTTTGGATCATTTTATGATTAGTATTTTTAATTTACACTGATTCTCACTAGGTCTTCTTATGATCATTGGCAGATAATTACAAAACGAATAGTAAAGGTTGGTAGGCTTTCTAAGGCTTTAAATATAATTTAAATTTAGAATTTTCAGGGCGCCTGCGTGGCTCAGTCAGTTGAGCATCTGACTTCAGTTCAGGTCATGATGTCGCGGCTGGTGAATCTGAGCCCTGCGTCAGGCTTGTGCTGACAGCTCAGAGCCTGCAGCCTGCTTCAGATTCTGTGTCACCCTCTCTCTCTCCCCCTCCGCTGTTTGCACTCTGTCTCACTGTCTCTCTCAAAAATAAATAAACATTTTAAAAAATAATAAATTTAGAATTTTCTCTTCCTTTTTACAGCAAAATTGACTTATGTGAGAGTAATAATACCTGTAGCTATTTTACTGAGCAATTATTAGGCACCTAACATTTTCCATTACTTATTTTATCCAAAACAACACTGAGTCAAATAAAGATCTACTACATCTGTTTTACAAATTCAGAAAGCTGAGGTTAAAAGAGGTCAAATAATTTGCTAAGGCCACTGAGTTAGTGACAGGGTTTACATTTAAACACAAGGGTATAGAACTTCAGAACCTAAAATTTTAACTAAAATTCTCTGCAGGATTCAACTCGTGACATTGATTTTATTTGTTCTACCTTTAAGCTTCTGGGTTAACTGGTTTAGCATACAATCTTTTTAAAAAAATAGTTTTAATGTTTATTTATTATTTTTGAGAAAGAGAAAGACAGAGTACAAGTGGGGGTGGGGCAGAGAAAGAAGGAGACCCAGAATGTGAAGCAAGCTCCAGGCTCTGAACTGTCAGCACAGAGCCCAATGCAGGGCTCGAACTCATGAACCCTGAGATAATGACCTGAGGCAAAGTTGGACACCTAATGGGCTGAGCCACACAGGCGCCCCACACACAGCCTATTGTTAATCATTGGAATATTACTAATTACTACTGACCACTATGATCTTCTTCTAGGATTCTGCCTTATAAACATTTTCCTGATCCCTGGTTGCTAAACTTAGTCGGAGGGCACATAAACAGAAATAAAACAAAAACAAAAACAAAAACATATTATGGTTAAGTGTAAGCTCTTATTTAAAGAAAAATTAAATTGTGTAGAGAATATTCAGGGATGAGGGTCTTATTTTGAAACTGAATCCTCAATCCTTACCTTCTCTACATCTCCCAGGCCCTCCGTGTCAAGAAGAACTAGGGTGTGGTCTGGCTTCTTGGGATGAGGCACACACCACATCCAGATTCCTTTGGTGTGAGACTGCACCGTGGAGCCCAGAGAGAAGCCTGTGAGGAAGAGTGGGGATAAGAGAAGGTGGAGTTTTAATAGCAGATGGAACTAGAAATCCTACAATGCAACGCACAAAAAAAAAAAAAAAAAACAACCTGATTAAAACAAGAGCAAAGGACTTGAATAGACATTTCTCCAAAGCAAATATACAAACGACCAATAATCAAATGAAAAGATGCTCATCATCATTAGTCATTAGGGAAAAAACAAATTAAAACCACAATGAGATATTACTTCACACTCATTGGGATGGCCACTATCAAAAACCCAGAAAATAGGAAGTGTTGGGGAGGATGTGGGCATATTAGAAACCTTGTGTATTTCTGGTGAGAATGTAAAATGGTACACTTGCTGTGGAAAACAATATGATGGCTTCTTAAAAAAAATTAAAATAGAATTACCATATGATTTGGAGATATATAACCCCCACAAAATGAAAGTAGGGATTTGAACAGATATTTGTGCCCTCGTGTTTTTAGCAACATTATCCATAATAGCCAAAAGGTGGAGGCAACCCAAGAGTCCTTCAACAGATGAAAGGATAAACAAATCAGTATGCACATATTAGTTATTCAGCCTTAAAAAGGGAGAGAATTCTGACACAGGGTACAACACCAAAGACATTGTGCCAAATCACATTCAGCAAATCACAAAGGACAAATAATGTCTGATTCCTCTCAAATGAGATTCCTAGAACAGTCCAATTCATAGAGAGAGTATGTAGAATGGTGGTTGCCAAGGGCTGGGGAGTTATTGTTTAATGGGTACAGAGTTTCTGTTGAGGAAGATGAAAAAATTAGGGAGATGCATGATGGTGATGGCTGCATAACAGTGTGAATTTACTTAATGCCATAGAACTATATGTACACTTAAAAATGATTCCAATGGTAAGTTTTATGTTATGTATATTTTACAACAATGAAAAAAAAAGCCAATACAGACTTCAACATTCTTTGCATCTTAATAACCAGTGGAAACTTGCTTTTCCTACATGCACATTTTAGTAAATGTCTTATTATGTACATTAATTATGTTTATTACTGCACTAGTCTTTCTAGGAAAGGAACAATTTATGCTTTTAAAACAGGAAGCTAAGGCAAAGTGGGAAGAGTGATGAACTGACTCTTTTAGATTATAGTGAAGATAAGAGCATCATCGTGGATTAAAAGATAACTTTCAATATTCCTCCGCGTTCTCCAACTTCCTGTCCTTGCATCACCACGTTCAATGCAGGCAGTGTAGGTGGACAGAAGGGACTCCGCGGAGCTTTTTGGTGCCACTCACCCTTGTTCTTCCCAGCCAGCTTGTTCATCAGGTAGGATTTGCCTGTGCGGTAGAGGCCCACAATAGCCACCACCACGAGAGGATTCTTGGTGGCTGACAGGATCTCCGAAGCTTCCTGATTAACCACCAGTTGCCCTTCAGTGTTCTCAATGAGGCACACTGGGGCCGGCATGTGGATCTCTGAGGCCATGTTCAGAGTGTTCCCTGGTCTGCAAGGGAAGAGATGGGATGAAATAAAATTTCCAGTCCAATTAGATCAAGAACCTCACCAGGTTATTTTACATTCAGAAGCTGGAGTCCTCAGTTTCTTTTTTTTTATTTTTTTTAAAATTTTTTAATTTTTTTTTCAACGTTTATTTATTTTTGGGACAGAGAGAGACAAAGCATGAACGGGGGAGGGGCAGAGAGAGAGGGAGACACAGAATCGGAAACAGGCTCCAGGCTTTGAGCCATCAGCCCAGAGCCTGACGCGGGGCTCGAACTCACGGACCGCGAGATCGTGACCTGGCTGAAGTCGGACGCTTAACCAACTGCGCCACCCAGGCGCCCCTGGAGTCCTCAGTTTCTACAACATGGCCATAAGTTTTGTGTCAACATTGAGATAGATGAGGGTAAGATCTGTATCATTTTAGAAAGTTACAGAAGTATTATCAAAGTAGTCCATTGAAAAAATATTGGTATGACCATATCTTCTGAATGTTCAGCCACTCTCATGAACAAAATCGGTCATTAAATTCACCATGGAAAACGTTCCTTTTGTATTCTCATTAAAAATTTTAGCAGGGTGCCTGGGTGGTTCAGTCGGCTAAGCGTCCGACTTCAGCTCAGGTCATGATCTTGTGGTCCGTGATTTCAAGCCCCGCGTGGGGCTCTGTGCTGACAGTTCAGAGCCTGGAGCCTGCTTCAGATTTTGTGTCTCCTCTCTCTGCGCCTCCCTGATTCACACTCCATCTCTCTCTGTCTCTCAAAAATGAATAAATGTTTTTAAAATTTTTAAATTTAGAGTAAAGCAGGGGTGCTTGTGTGGCTTAGTTGGTTAAGAATCCACCTCTTTGATTTTGGCTCAGGTAATGATCTCACAGTTTGTGGGATTGAGCCTTGCATTGGGCCACGCTTATAGCACAGAGCCTGCTTGGCATTCTCTCTCTTCCTCTCTCTCTCTGCCTCTCCCCTGCTCACATGCACATATGCATGTGTGCATGCTCTCTCAATATAATACAAAAACTTTAAAAAATTTAGAGTAAATGTTAAATGGAAAATAGAATAGAATTTAGAGGTATTTATTTTACATTCGGTTATATGTAAAAATTCAATGTTGATTTATTTATTCATTAATTCTTACTATGAATACTTTCGTACATTATTTCATGCATGCCCTTTGAACAATTCCCAGAGATTTTAAATGTGTTTCTTCCCTGATAGATATGCTTGTTTTGCTGGAATGAGGGTCCACAGAACTTCTCAAATTGCCATTCCAAAAGTGAAACCAATATAACTTACTTTTGCAAATTTTATAAAAACATATGACCATCTGGAACACATGACCAAGGACCCTTCGAAAGCCTTGGCATGGGCTTTTATAAGCAAGGGGCCTTTAAACTTCATTAGCTTCACAGTAAGTTAGCCTCCAGCTACATGGGGGTACAAGTGCACTACTGGAAATACTTACCATGGCTAAAAATCATGTTTATATATATGTGATAAGGGAACAAAAGACTATGAAATAAGGATTAAAAGGTCAGGAGTCAGAGGACCCTGGGAAGATGGCAGAGTAGGAGGATCCTAAGCTCACCTTGTCCCACCTAAATAACAGCTACACCAGTGTAATTAACCCAGAAAATGAACCAAAGACTGGCAGAACAGACTGTCTACGGTTAATCATAGAGAGGAGGCCACATCGAAAACAGTAGCAAAGGTGAAGTCTGGTTGGAAACTAAGCTAATCTGCAAGACTAACTGCTTGTGGATACCATTAGTACAGAGAAGGGAGAGGAGCAGACCCCACACTGGGCACTTGAGACGTGGGGTACCTGCACATTTAGTGAGGAATTAAAGTCCCCATGACATTTGGCTTTGAAAATCAGAGGGCTTAAACTTTCAAGTTTTTACCATCAGTAGGGCTTAACATCTTAAGAAAAATATTAGAGAGCATGAAGGGTAATAGAAAACTGAGTCCCTACCCCTAAAGATCCAGCAGAACGAACAATCCCACTGTGATACAGCATAGAAGCAATAATTTGAGAGGCACCTCGGGTGTATGAGGAGATTTATTTACTAATCTCAGAATGTGTGCAGTAGGGGCAGGGATCTTTAGGAGACTTCTCCAAGAACTAAATAACTGGTAGGTGCCATTTCTCTCTCCTAACCCCAGATTAGCTACATGGACACCTGTGGGAACTAGCACGACCACACATCATCTAGTTTGCTAACACCATGTGCCCTGTTCTCCTGCAGATCCCCCCCAATCCAACACACCCCACTCAAGAGAAGTTCCTTCAAAGTGCTCTGGCCAGGTCTCATCCTTCAAGCAGCACCAACAGTGGCCAGCACCACTCCACATTGACTGGGAGAGGGGAAGACAAGCACACACACCAATTTAACTGCAGGCTCAATGGTGGGCTGGGGCAGACATCCGATCAGACTGCTAGCTCTACCAACAAACCTCACAAGGGGCAGCACAAAGGAAGAGCCCTGTAGTTTGGGTTACCTGCAACCCTGAAAGACAGACTGGGATCAGACTGGGGTCTAACTGTAGGCTCTGTCCACCAATGAAAGCATCTAAGGGAACAATGCAGAAAGAGCACCATGCAGTTCAGTGTGACCACAGTTCTGGCAAATGGGTTGAGAGCAGGCATCTGGTTTGACCTAGCTACAAGCCCAAGGCTGCCCCAGACTGGCCCTGTGAGAGCACAGAGACCAAACCCTGCTCATAATAGGGAAAGAGGGCCATTTCAGACAATTCACTGAAGGCAAACGTGGCTCAGCCACAAAAATAAGCTAACACAACACACATACGAGACACCCCTGAAAGTGCCATGTTCTGGTGAAAGGGGGACATCGCACTAGAGGACACTATAAAACCTCTTCTTCATAAGGCCACTATTTTCAAGATCAGGAGACATAGCTAACTTTCCTAACATACAGAAACAAGTGCAGAATGTTATACAAAATGAAGAAACAGAGGAATATGTTCCAGATGAAAGAACAAGACAAAAATCACAGTACAAGAGCTAAATGAAATGGAGATAAGAAATATGCCTGACAGAGAATTCAAAGTAATGATCATAAAGATATTTACTGGACTTGAGAAAAGAGTGGAGGATCTCAGTGAGACAAACAAATGGAAAGATACTTTGTGCTCACTGATTGGGAGAATGAGTAGTGTTAAAATGTCCATACTACCTAAAGAAATCTACAGAGTTAATGCAATTTTTTTATTTTTTATTTTTTAAATAGTTATTTATTTTTGAGAGAGAGATAGAGTGAGAGCAGGGGAAGTGCAGAGAGAGAGGGAGACACAGAATATGAAGCAGGCTCCAGGCACCAAGCTGTCAGCACAGAGCCCGACTTGGGGTTTGAACTCACAGACCATGAGATCATGACCTGAGCTGGTCAGTCGCTCAACTGACTGAGACTTCCAGGCACCCCAGTGCAATTTCTATCAAAACACCAATAGCCTTTTTCATAGAAGTAGAACAAACAATCCTAAAATTTGTATGGAACTACAAATAGCCAAAGCAATTTTGAAAAAGAAGAACAAAACTGGAGGTATCACAATCTCAGAATTCAAGATATACAAAAAAGCTGTAGTAATCAAAACAGTATGGTACTGGCACAAAAAGAGACACATAGATCAATAGTATAGAATAGAGAGTCCAGAAATAAATTCATGCTTTTATGGTCAAATGATCTACAATAAAGGAAGTAAGAATATACAATAATAGGAAAAAGACAGTCTCTTCAACAAATGGTGTTGGAAAACTGGACAGCTCTATGCAAAATAATGAAACTGGACCATTTTCTTAGCCATATACAAAAATAAACTCAAAATGGATTAAAGAGTTAAATATGAGACGTGAAACCACAAAATTCCTAGGAGTAAACACAGGCAGTAATTTCTTTGACATCAGCTATAGAAACACTTTTCTAGATATGTCTCCTGAGGCAAGTGAAACAAAAGCAAAGATAAACAATTGAGACTCCATTAAAATAAGAAGGTTTTGCACAGAAAAGGAAACCATCAACAAAACAAAAAGACAATCTACTGAATTGGAGAAGATATTTGCAAATGATATATTTGATAAGGGGTTAATATCCAAAATCTATAAAGAACTTATACAACTCAACACCCAAAAACCAATAATCCAATTAAAAATGGGCAGAAGACGTGAATAGACATTTTTCCAAAGAAGACATACAGATGGTCAATAGACACATTAAAAGATGCTAGACATTACTACTCATCAGAGACATGCAAATCAAAATCACAATGAGTATCATCTTATACCTATCAGAATGTCCAAAATAAAAAACTCAAGAAAGTTGCTGAGGATGTGGAGAAAAGGATTCTGGCGAACTGCTGGGCGGTGGAATACAAACTGGTACAGTCACTCTGGAAAACAGTATGGAGGTTCCTCAAAAATAGAACTACCACATGATCCAGTAATTGCACTACTGGGTATTTACCCAAATAAAACAAAAACAGTAATTTGAAAGGATATATGCATCCTTTTGTTTACTGCATCATTATTTACAATAGCCAAACTATGGAAGCAATCCAAACGTCCATCTATAGATGAATGGATAAAGAGGAAATGGTGTATATACACAATGTAATACTACTCAGCCATAAAAAAGAATGAGATCTTGCTATTTTCAACAACATGGGTGGATATAGAGGGTATAATCCTAACTGAAATAAGTCAGTTAGAGAAAGACAAATACCATATGATTTTACTCATATATGAAATTAATTTAAGAAACAAAGCAAACAAAGCAAAAAAGAGGGAAAAAAACGCAAAAAAACCCCCCACCCAGACTCTTAAATATAGAAAACAAATTGGAAGCTGCTGGAGGCAAGGTGGGTAGGGTTTGGGGTGAAACAGGTGAGGGGATTAAGAGTGTACTTATTGTGATGAGCACTGAGTAATGTATAGAATTGTTGAATCATTATACTGTACACCTGAAACTAAAAAAAAAAAAAATCAGGAGGCAGATCAGGAGAGGTAAAGGGCAAGTTGTTCAAGGAAAATATTTGTATTTTCAGCATACATTTCTAGGTTTTCTGTTTTGTTCTGCTCTTCCATTTTGCAGAGAAGGAGAAGCAGGAAGAGGAGAATAGATGGTGGGGAAGAGGGATGAGAGATGAAGGGAAAGTGAAACTGGAAAGGAGAGAGAGTCGTCAGGTAAGATAAATAAAGCTCGTGCCAAGCCAAGGAATTCAGGGCAGGAGTTTCCAGAAGGCAAGATTGGAACTGATTGAGAGCACAGAGAGGTCAAGGCAAACAAAGATGTAGCCCTTAGTGATACATCACGGTAGATTCTTTAAAGAGGAAGCTTTCTAGTCAAATGGACTCCAGATTCTACTTGTAAGGGGTAAGGAGTAAGTTGGCACTAAGTAATTGGATCTACTGAACCTGGACTATTTCTGAAGGAAGAAATACACTTTGAAACAAAGTTCAAGTGTGTGATTAAAAAGAATGATGTTTTCATAAATCTTCACCTTTAGCTCTGGGTTTCAGATTTTTCTTTTTCTGTCTTTAACAGTATCAGGTGGGGATACCTCAGTGGCTCAAGACTCTATCTTGGCTCAGCTCACGAGCTCATGGTTTCATGAGTTTGTGCACTGTGTTGGGCTCTTCACTGGCATCTCAGAGCCTACTTGGGATTCTCTCTCTCCCTCTCCCTGCCCCTCCCCTGTTCATGCACTCTCTCTCTCTCTCAAAATAAATAAACATTAAAAAAATCAGTGTCGGGTGGCTGTTCACCACACCACACCTCATTTACTATTCTTTCCTTCTCCTGAATATAACATATTTGCAGCCTTTCAGTTTCTTAGCTGCAGTCGGATCTGTACTGAGCAAGTTCTATGAAAGATAATGGGAATTTAACTGTGTCCCCAGGCAACACAAAGTCAGCAAAAAGAAAGACAAGCCTAGTGCACTTCAAACTTCATTTATCCCCATGTCTGCTGGTGCCTAATTTCACACAAGCACAGTAGTAACAGGTAGGAACATGCTACCATCTGATGACCCCAGTATTTCATTATCCGACCTAGTATCCCACAGAGGCTCAACTGCAACCCGTCTTGATGCTGATCACTTTTTTTTTTAATGTGTATTTATTTTTGAGAGAGAGTGCAGGGGGAGGGACAGAGACAGAGGGGGACAGAGGATCCAAAGCAGGCTCTGTGCTGACAGCAGAGAGCCCGATGTGGGGCTGAAACTAATGAATTGTGAGATCATGACCTGAGCTGAAGTCGGATGTTCAACCAACTGAGGCACCCAGGTGCCCTTAGGCTGGTCACTTTTTAAGAAAACTGACCTTTATAAAATCCTTTCCCATCCCTGCCCCAACCTTGTCATGAGCCCCATTTCCTGGAACAGAGCTCCTTTAAAGCTGAAGAAAAAGCTGCTTTGATAATGAAGTGGAGTTCTTACCTTTTATTTTTTCCTCTTCGGTTAGGTGGAGAGGTTTCTGTTACTTCTCCCTCTCTCACTGGATCATGGATCTTTTATTTTACCTGTGTAATGTCATTGGACTTTCCAGATTTCCTTTAAAGACAAACTAGAAACAAAGCAACCACTGTAACAGACTTTATCTGAAACTGAAAGCATTGGGACACAAAATAATTATTCAAAGACCATAAAAGGAATTTCTGGAGGCTGTGCTAGTGGGAGGGTATATGGACTTAACACAATTTCTCAACTAGAACCTTCACATTTTTTTGAAAGAGATTTCAGAGAACGCTCGCTGATTTTAAAGAATGTCTATCAGATATGCAAATACAATGAAATGGAGCTCAGAGTTGGGGTTCAGGTTGAGAAACCTAGAGTGAGGAAGCATCATGTGAATTTTTAGGTCTAATTTCCTCACATGATGAACATACAATGGACCTGGCTTTATACATACAGCAAGTGAGGAGAAGAATATGCCACACACACAGTCACAAACACCCAGCACCTGGCACTAATACCCAGTGCACAGTCAGGAAGGGGCTCCAAGAATTGCACACATGTTTGAGGCTCTATGCTGACTGCTTTATGTGGGTTTTATAACATATCATATGCTAAACATTTCCCCATGTTTTTATAGAAACAGGAACAGAAAAGTTGAACGTCTCAACCCAAATCACAGTAGTATATATAAGTAATCTGAACTGAATCATTCTTGATCCCAAACACTCTTGTGAAGCTACTTCACTACACTGCCTTTCTAGGCTTTCTGAGTGAATAGCAAAAGAAGTAATGGGTTTATTTCTTGATTGTTTGCACAGAACTATGTGTGTTTCAAGTCTAATTCATTTTTGATTACAATAATGCAAAATAAGCAACAATGTCTTCATCTTCCAGTGAAAACAAGGAGGTTTGAGGGAGGGTAAGTATGCCGGTCCATATTCATTGAGCAAGTCACAGGGGTGGGAATCAAATTTTAAGCTCTTTTTACCTTTTGTTTTGTTTTGTTTTGTTTTAGAGAATTCAAGCTGGGAGAGGGGCAGAGGGAGAGAGAAAGAGAAAAAGAGAATCCTAAGCAGGCTCCATGCTCAGCATGGAGGCCAACATGGGGCTTGGTCTCACAATCTGGGATCATGACCTGAGCTGAAATCAAGAGTTGGATGCTCAACTGACTGAGCCACCCTGGTGCCCCTAAACTCATTTTACCTTTAAATTCTCTGCTTTTTCTCCTCTTCCACATTGCTTCTGAAAGGAAGGAATAGGGAAATGAGGAGAAAGGGAGAGATTGATTAGGTTCTCTGCTGATCCCAGATCTCTATACCCGGAAGCCAGTGTGAGAAACTTAACAAATAGAACTGAATACTCTCTTTTCTTTTTCCTTTTTGAAATTTGCTTTGAAAAATGAGTTAGCTGGGACTTTCCGTTGCTGGGACACACCCAGTTCCTTCCTGCCTTGATCCTTGAGGCACAACTTTACAGATCTGAAACTTTCTTACCCTTGATCTTGGCAAGATCCCTTTTTATTCTGTTGGTCTCCAGTGAACCCTTTGCAAATCTCCTTCACATCACCTTGATTTTTCCCCCTTATGATACCTGAAATTCAAATTCATAAAAGCAGTTAACTAATGTATTCACAGCACTTGCAATAAGACTTGGCATAGAGTAGAAGTTCAATGGATATTATGTGACTAAGTATAAAATGACCCCAACTATGCAAGAAACCCCACACTTTTGCCAATTTGAATATGTAAACTTAAAAAAATTTTTTTAAGTTTATTTATTTAGAGAGAGAGTGCAAGCGGGGTAGGGGCAGAGAGAGAGAGAGAAGGGAGAGAGAACCTCAAGCAGGCTCCAAGCTGTCAGTGCAGAGACTGAACCCACAGGGCTCAAACCTGTGAACTGTGAGATCATGACCTGAGATGAAACCAAGAGTCGGATGCTTAACTGAGCCATTCAGGTGTTCAAATGAGTAGTTAATGTCTTTTTTCCATATGTCTATCCACTTTATCATGAAATGATAATGAAAACATAAAGTGTTAAGTAGAGTCCAAATGTTACTCCATTACTGTACATTTTCCACGATTTCAACAAATACTGATCAATTGGCAATATTGTGTATTTAAGTTATTACAGAAAACCATGAGAAAGTTGTGGGTTTTTTCCAATTGCAATAACTTATCTGTACCTTTAAATTTTTTTTAATTTTTTTTTTTTTGACAGAGAGCGAGAGACAGAGTGCAAGCAGGGAGGAGCAGAGAGAGGGACACAGAATCTGAAGCAGGCTCCAGGCTCTGAGCTGTCAGCACAGAGCCCGATGCAGGGTTCAAACTCACAAACCATGAGATCATGACCTTATCTGGAGTTGGACCCTTAACCGACTGAGCCACCCAAGCACCCCTTCTTATCAGTGACTTTATTCAACAATGTGAAATATGGTCTGGGTGATTGTAACTTGCCATGGGACAGTATTTGTGGACATTACTATGAGTTTGTCATATGCCAATGCAGCCATACAACAAACAAAGACAAAGGGCTGCATGCACTCTTTTTTAAAAAAAGATTTTATTTTTAAGTAATTTTTCACCCAATATGGGGCTCAAACTCACAACCCTGAGACCAAAAGTCACATGCGTGGCTAACTGAGCCAGCCAGGCACGCTTAGGGCTGCGTGCACTTTTTATAAACATTAATAAGTAGAATGTGCTGTCCCCATAGGAGCTCATTACCTTTTTCATCAGATGATATGCTGACCTTCTAGTACCTGAAGTTATCAAACCTTTAAGTATCTTTCCAGTTATATTTTCTCTTTGGGTTAGTCTGGTTTTGTAGAAGGAGTATTTTAGGCACACAGTTGAAAAGCTAAAGTGGGATGCTTGGGGTGCCTGGGTGGCTCAGTCGGTTAAGCGGCCGACTTCGGCTCAGGTCGTGATCTCGCGGTCTGTGAGTTCGAGACCCGCGTCAGGCTCTGTGCTGAGAGCTCAGAGCCTGGAACCTGCTTCAGATTCTGTGTCTCCCTCTCTCT